CGGGGGGGTTGGACTAGATGACCCACAGAGGTCCCTTCCAACCCCTACTATTCTGTGATTCTGTGATTCTGTGATTCTGTGATTCCAGCTACATGTCTATGTATGTCTATCTCTACTTGACAACTATGTCAAGTTGGATAGGGCTCTGAGCAACCTGATCCAGCTGAAGATATCCCTGCTCACTGCAGGGGGGACTAAATGACCTCTAAAGGTCCCTTCCAACCCAAAGCATTTTATGGTTCTACAATTCTAGCAGAGTACTGTCTGCCAGGAACCAGGCTTTGGACTCCCTCCTCCATAGCAGTTAGTGACAGCTTTGTAGCCCAAAAAAACCCCACCCCTAAACCAGCAGAAACTAAGCAGATGGCATGAAGTGGAAAAATGATGGGAAAGGCTTGCATAATGAAGAATAATATCTGGAAGTGAATCCTGGGCTTGGAAGACTGGGCTGCCTATGAAAACATTTGCTCCCAGACTCTATGGGCTTCATTCACTCCCTGGGGGAGCTCGACCAGGCTCCCAGCTAAGGTTCATCTCATCTAAATCTAGATGAGGGGAAATGACATTCAGAATTAAGGAAGTTGCTTGCTCATAGCTGTGTAACTGAAGCTCTCTGAGGCGATGGTGCGGTAGTTTGCTCTTGTCACATGTTTGTTGACACCCAGATGTGCAGTCAACCGGGGAGCTGGTGGCCACTGTCATCTTCTCTGCCACAACCACTTAGCTGGGATTTTAGAGTCAAAATGACCTGCTTCTTGCATGAATTGGGAGCCTTCTGGCCTCACTGGATGCATCAGCAATATGAATTCATCCTGATCAGATTTCAAATGCTGTAATTTATACAGCACTGATTCTTCCTCGGCATTATCATGGCACAGAGGTTAACCACGAAGCCATGAGCCTCACCCCAGGCTCAGGCAAACATTGCCTCCAGCTGGGCTAGCCTGATTTTGGTCCTGGTGACTTCAGGCCAGACAGCAAGGTGTGATGCTGCTTGCACCACTCCATGCTGTACCCGGGGCAGCAGCAACCAAGCAGGCGGGTCCACAATGGGGCTTGCCGAAACTCTGTGAGAACCTATGCTACAATTGCATACTGACATGACTTTGTTTCCTATTTCCTGGTAATAAATTTCTAGAATTTTAACTGCTTTTTGGTCATCCGTGAATCACTGAGTTGATACTTTAGTGAGCTATGAGTTATAATAAAAAAATCTCAGTCCTGAGGGGTAATATCAAATCAGCTGTAAGTGTAAATCAGTCTATCAGTGTGTATATGAAGGTAGGATTTGTTTTTACTTTGGGCACCGCTTCCTTCACACTGAATTTGACCTGCTGTTTTGCCTTCTGGTCAGGCAGTCTAGTAAAGCATATCTGCAGTTCTTCAAAGCAGAGGTTTGTTTTGAACTATTGAGAACAACTTCATATTATTGGCAAATATTGTTGCCTTGATTTTCACCTAGAGGCAGCCAGAGGCAATGGTTAGCGTACCTTGAAACCAGAATTCCCATGTCTGAAAAAGCCTTAGCAGACGTCAGGATGGCAGAAATGACAGAGGCAAGGTGAAATCGCTGAAAAGGCCCCTCATTACGGAGACAGGGACATGGGCTGCCTCTGAGAGCCATGGGTTTGACAAGGGATCCTAACGACCCGCGGCAGCTCTCGGGAGCAGGTAATGACCACACAGGGGAAGCAGCACAGCCAAGAAACCCTGCGACTTTGCTCTCTGAGCCACATTTTGGCAGGGTTTTATTTATCTGCAACAAAATACAATTTCAGGGACAAGCTTTCTGGGAAAAGGGAGGGGAACTCTGTGCGAGACTGGATTAACCTTCCTCTCCAAGCAAAACGTGTTTCCAATAAACACTTACGTTGGGGCGAGGGTGAGCGGGGCCCCAGGCCCGGCTGTTCCTCGGGACCGGTTCGCTCCGAGCCTTGTGCTCCCAGGGCAGCTCTTTCTTGCCCTCTAAATTAACACGCGTGTCACCACAACAGCTGTAAAGCGTTAACTGGGAAGTGCTCAGAAAAATCATTGTCTGTTAAAGAACCCAGAATTCCAATGTAACAGTTGGTTTTGCATTGATTTGCATTAAATTTTGTGCCTTCCAAGGGAGATGAAAGCAATGCCGGAATAAAAAAATGGGCACTTTTAGAACAAAATGATTATTTTTGTTATTTGATGCATATTTTCATTTTGAAATATACTTTATTAAAATGAAGGGGTCAGCATAAACCAAGTTGACTTGTTTAATATTTTGTCAAGTTTCTGCTTGACATCTTAATTTCTAACCTTTCATTTGCAGATGAATGAATCTCAAACATTTTCTAGGTGGAAAAAGCTGTAGTCTAACTATGCATAATGCTGGTCTTAACGCAGCACGTGTATATGTGTGTGGGTGGGCTTTGTCAGCATGTATTGAGTAGCTCTTGTTTTAGTCATGTTAGTAAGTCCTTACGATAGGTTATTTGATTTTTTTTGCTGGGACATTTGCTATTTGTTCAGAATAGCAAAAGACTGGTTTTGTTTTCCTATAAATCATTCTCTTTCTTGCTGCTCCAACCAAGGCCCATCCTGTCCCGGATTCCTGTCATTAGTCTTATCAAGTTCAACTTCCTCTTCACATTATTAATCTAAAATCTCATACATCTATGCATGCAATAGGAAAGAGCAGGTCAGCACTGGTTTTCTTTTTATAACAACTGGACTTGCTTCTTCAAATGAAAGAGTTGTAAGTGGCATTTCTCAGTGCCCGGTTCAGAAAGGCATATGGAAAAGTCTTTTTATTCTAGGAAAATTCTTGTAATGCCTTTTCTGTCATTCCAGGTGAAATTAATGCTTCACTAGTGGGCGTCTTGCCCGCAAGCAGATCTGCACCTACCCTCCAGGTGGACTGACCTCCCCTGGAGGCCCATTACCTCAGTCTGTGAAAGCAAGGAAGTTATTCTGACTTTACGGTTGAACCGTCTTCTTACACGTTTGTGAAGTGTCACACAGCTCAGCGGCACCACATAAATCATTAACAGTACTAATACTTAGCAGAGCAGCAGCCTGAGACGTAGCCCTGTGACTGGGTATGTACAGCTTACAAGCATTTGTGTATATTATACTGCTATTTTAAGGCATTACATTTATTGGCAGTTTTTGGCTGAAAAAGGATTTTAGTGGGTGGGAAGGAACCAGGTCTGCAAAACCAAGCATAGCTCTGGACCGGTGAGCTCTGGTACAGAGTCACACAAGCCATTGGACTGGTTTTCTCTTGCAGG